GAGAGAGGGGACTCATCGAACTCGAGTCCCTCTATAAACGGACGACGTGCGAAGTCGCGAGATTCATTGAAAGGAAAAAGGGACGACTCATTTCCATCCTGAGAGAGCGCGATGCCATAAAGAAATCCCACTCCACCCAGGGAGATGCCACCCGCTTCCGAAATGCACTCCATCTCGATGACGACTGCGACACGAGTGATGTGAAGACGGCAGATCAAGGACAAAGAGAAGCAAGATGGAAGGAGAAACCGCTTCACGGCCAGCATCCCAAGATCATGGATAAACCATCGATCGACTCGGACGTCAGCTATAACTGGCTGAAGAAGGGACTGCTGAATGCCGAGACAGAGAGCAACATCCTAGCCATTCAGGACCAGTGCATTAGAACTCGTAACTACGAAAAGCACATCCTGAAGCTGAATGTGGAAGACCGCTGTAGATGCTGTCATGGATCACCGGAAACGGTTCACCACCTCCTCAGTGCCTGCCCCGAACTAGCCCCGAGGGAGTACTTGTACAGACACGACCAAGTGTGCAAATATGTGCATTGGTGTGTCTCAAAGCTTGCCGGCCTGGAAGTCCCAGAGAAGTGGTACAAACACCTGCCAGAGTCTGTTGTGGAGAACGCCTCCACCAAGATACTGTGGGACATGCCTATAATTACAGACCACAGTATGGGCTGCAATAGGCCGGACCTTACGATCTATAAGAAGGAGAAGAAGACTGCCCTCCTCGTAGATGCGAGCATCCCAGCCGATAACAACCTCCAAGAGAAGACCCGGGAGAAGCTGGAGAAATACTCCCAACTGAGAGTGGAAGTGGAACAGTTGTGCGGAATGAAGACCACCATCGTTCCGATCATCATAGGCACAACTGGTGTCGTCCTGAAAGACCTCAAAGGACATGTCAGGAAGCTGGAGTGTGAAGTATCACTGGATATCCTCCAGCGTACAGCAGTCTTGGGCACGGCCAGCATCCTTCGCGGTGTCCTTCAGAATTAGGCGAGTATGAGATCTGGGATGTGGTTCATCCCTCCTCATATCTCCAAAATACCGGCAGGTGCCGTGGAAGGATTTATTTTATTATATATATATATTTTTTTTTCTTTTCAATATTATGTTATTTTATTATTTAAAAAAAACTTCCTAATAAGGATCGATCTGACCTGAACGGATCATTTCTCTCAGCTTCATGGGCTGAGAGAAATTCTCTCAGGACATTCACCTCTCTGGATATTTGCGAAGAAAAATCGAGACTGTCATCTTCTAATGGCCCCCGTCGAGTTTTGACCGACGTCGCCTCCACGAGTAGAAACCGCCGGAACATGCAACTCACCTTGCTCTGCGTCCACGTCATCCACACCTCATCCACACCTCATCCACACCTCATCCACATCTCATCCTTTTGATTGACAGATAGGGTGAGCAGAATGGCATTTTTTCCGGTGAAACACCGCATCGCCTGCTGCAGATAATCCAGGAAACAGGGGAAATTCACATCATGAGGAAGATTTCGCAGCTTCGTCGCATTTTTTCCGTCGCATTTTTTTCACGCGCACTGTGGAACCAGTCTCAGAAAAATATCAAGAGAGAATCTCAATATATTTTATTCGCGCTGCGCGGGCAACGGGTCGGCCGGATCCGGTAGACGATGGAATTTCGGGTCGGGTTCGGAAAATTTCGTCCGTGCAGGCCTCCATCTGGGTGGATGCGAAACGCAAGCAAATGAGAGCTTCGATCGATTCTAACGCTTGCGAGGCATTTTTAATTCATAAAAAGTTAATTACTCAACTTACATATCTATTAAATGAATAGCTAAATTTATACTTAACTTAATTACTTAATTTATATTCTTAAACTGAATTACTTGATTTATTTTTAAAAACTATCATTAATTGTACTGGATTATGTTGAACCAGCCATTTTTTCTGGATTTTTCCCGCATAAACACACACACACATACACTTTGCTTAATTTTTCCCATATTAAATTTTGGGGCGGTGGCAGATGGAGGTAAATCATTGCAAAGAGATTAGGACCCATTCCCACTTGCCCCCTTTGCCCCACTTGCGCCCCTTTCCCCCCCCCCCCTAGTATTTCCTCTTTAAAATGATCGCCTGCTAACCTTGATCTCTTGTGGAAGGAATTGACGGGAGGGTTCACGAGTCTCCTGGTTACGGCGCAAAATTCCACCCATTGGGGGATTGGTCTCCACCACAACACTTGACCACACGCGCCAGACGCGGCCGCATCCGCACGCACGCAGACCAGAAGAACCTGAGCGAAGGGACGCTCGAGAGGGAATGTGGACTCCCCGACCGGAGTCACCACGTGGAGGCAAAACGAGAAGAGAATCCGAATCCGAAACCGAATCGGAATCCGAATCCGACGACACTGGGATTCAGGAAATGGAACGAAGGGTCCGCGTTGCCTCCCTGTGTCATCTGTAGATGTCTGCCTCCCCGTGTGATATTGCCCGTGCACTCTACGTCGCGAGAAAAATTTCCCTCGCCTCCTCCAGACGACGATTGGCAAGAAAGTCTTAGATCTCTCCAGATGAAAGCTCCTATTCCTGTAGGGAGCCAGCGGTGAACCTGGACCCTCGGCCGAGCACCTTCTAGGCCCCGCGGAGATTCGCCAACGCACGTCTTCCAGAAAGAACTGGAATTCCAATCAAGGAAGCACATCGGCTACGACCGATCGAAGCCAGAACGGAGAAGTCCAACCGCGAAAGGCGAAACGAAAGATGGCGAGTTCCCAGAAGCCAAGCGAAACAGGGCGACGAAAGCACATGGAGCCTTCGACTCGGCACGACGAGCACGGGAGAGGCCTGCGTAGAGCCCAAAGCGGTACCGCACTCGCCGACACCTTCCGATCGAGTTCCATCCGCGTTGAAAGTTCCTGTGAAACTGGACCATCCACCATCCACCTCGCTCCTTCCCCTATCGTCTGCTGGACCTCCGTCTTGGTCACTTCGCTTGTCCACTGGGTCCGTCCACGGATGTGGATCCGCAGATGAGTTCCCTCGTGCGGTCGCGTCGTGGAATATGGTTCACGTGGAGATCACTGTTTTTTTTTTCTATTAAACGAATGAGGTGGTGGGGTGGGAGCATCAGGTAGTAGCAGGTGGTAGCATCGGGCGATGGCCCGAGAGGGAACGGATCACCCGTTCCCTCTCGGGCCATCGCCCGATGCTACGATACACGTGGGAAATCCACACTTCTCGACACGAACCTCACCAAAAACGAAAAAAGCAGTCTTTCCCAATGTTTTTCCAGGGTGTGTCAACACGTTTCATCGCAATCGAGGGATTTCTTTAGACGTGGGAAGAGAGAGTGAGACACAGAATATTGATCCAATATGCCGTTCCACTGGGGACTCGGGGCGAGACTGCCAGCGCTTCGTTTCTGGAGGGAAGCCTCATGGTGAACGCACCGAACTTACAGAAAAAAAAAATAGTAATTCAAAATAGGGAGGAAATTCCCTTACCTGTTTTAGTGAGCCTCAGCGTCGAGAAGTGCCCACATCGTCATCGACGCAATCCAGGACGGATGGAACGAACGGGATAGGACCCAGCTCATTTTCACGGGCTCGACGAAACGAGGAAGCCATCGCGACTCCGCAGGGCGAGCCTCGAGGCGATCGGCCGCGTCGTGGAGGACCGGATCCACGAGGGGAAGGAGGGAGGTGGAAGGCGCACGGCGTGGATCGGGGGAGAGGCGAGGGGTCCATACACACTCTAGGGTCCATGCACACTTTCCTTCGGTTGTGACGTTTTTCGCCTTGATTGCATCGTCTCGCGAGAGCTGGACTCGAGTGGGTTCGCGACTCGAGGCGTTTGACGAGGCGAAGCCTTCCGTCGATGGGGGTTTCGCTTCGGTTTGGGGGTGAAGAATTCTGCTCTTCGCGCCCCGGATGCCCAAGAGGCGAGGCGAACAGTAGCAGATAATCTCAAGTGGATAATCAATATTTTTATATGTACAGAATCCCCCCCCCCCCCCCCCTTCAATCCAAAGCGTTTTAGCTGTTAACTTGTGTTCGGTTAGATCTGAATGCCTGAGTCATTTGGAACAGTTTCTGATCATTTTCAGATAAATACATCGAAATGGCTGGCACTTTAGACTGCGAAAAGCAGAGTGACAATTAAATGTATCGCATTTTGCGAGCCTCGAGTGCTGGCGTTGGATCCATCACAAATGACTGGATTGTTAAAAAAAAAATTTAAAAAAGTACTGAAAATTGCTGACGAAAAGGATTTCATTCATCTTGCGTGTGCGGATGACATATGGGCAGGACAGTCGCCAGAATCGAATGCGGCAGAAAATCTCGGGGCTGCGATGAAAGCTCAAGTGGGGGACCCTGTTACACCGGGAGAGGACCGAAGATTGGGATTTTCCGAGTGCAGGAAGGAGAAAATGGTTCCGTTCCACCCTGAAAATTCTTTGGAAATCCACATTAAAAGTCAAATCCACATAATGCCTTCTCGAGTCACTCATGAAAAAGCTCCGTTACTTAAAAAATTGCAGGAAACGTGCTCGGGATAGCACAGGCACAAACAAATTCTTGTGCCAAAACCCCTCTCAAAACGACGGGGTCCTGACAGGTGGGAGTTGCCCTTCACTCAGTGGGACACATGCCAACTGGCTTAGAAAAAAAACAGCTAAACTGGTTTCTCCTCTCGATCTCGTCCTCCAGAATTTCTTAAAGAAATTCTTCATTTTTTTCATAAATCCAGACAATTAGGAATGGCATTTAGGTGATATCTTACATAGTTTTAACTCCAGCCTCGGCCAGGTACAAAATGGTAGAAATGATCATCAATGATACAAAACTCATCAGAACTAGATTCCTTTATTTCTGAAAAGTCCACATGACAGACAACTGCAAGAAACCATAACTCAGAAGAATGTACCAAGAACTCTCATGTGAAAATTGCTCTCACCACAAACAATGAAATAATTAAATAAACTCACAAAGTTCAGGCAAGATTCTCTCATGATCACAGAGAGCACCAGGCAAGAGAAGACAAGAGTATCAATGACTAGTCAGGTCAAATCAACAAGTTGCATGTCACAGAAGGAAGCACAAATTACATCAAACCAAAGAATATTAAGAATAAAGATAATTCAGGACAACCATGCTCGGTTGGAAGACAGAGCAAGGAACGGTCCTGAGGCAAGATCACACGAGACCAGAATGGATCCACCAGGATTGCCGGCAAGCCCACGTCGGGCAATGATATAGTGTTTTAAGAGCACTTGTACTAGGAAGAAGGCAAGGGAGTAACGTCTGATTGCAGCAAAGAATGCAGCAAGAGCAGTTGTGAAAAAGAGCAGGGTGTAGGAGTCCTGTAATTGTGCCAGCACAATAAGGACCTTTCAACCTGTAGCACCATTTCAAGGAGATAGCCATCTCACCAGAAAGGAGGGCTACTGCAATGGCAAGGAAGGCTTTGACCATGAGTCAGTGTCACTCCTCAAAAAAAACATTCTCTGTCATGATTGCTTTCCTTTCATGATTTAAAGGTACATCTATAAAATATATTAAGTTAGTCCACCTTTTTAAATACATACCTAATAAATACACAAAAAGCTACCCAGAATCATGTGTCGTAAGATAAATGCAGATGACAACATGGTTCATATCAGCTGGAACCTATGAGCTTTTCAAATGCAACCATGTTAAGGTAAGAATGATACATATGAATTTCAGAGTAATGAGTTATGGTGAAATGAGTCAGAAGGGTCACATGTGCAGAGATCAGAGAGTTTCTACAGATCAGGAAATTTTTTTTCAGAGGCCTCTCATGGAAAGCACTAGAGTGCCTGCACTCAATCACATCTTCAGCTACAAATGATATAGCATCAGTTGATAGGCTTTGAAAATTTTCTACCCTGGAAAAGGAATTTCCTAAACCTTGGAGAGATCTCTACACCATCAAACCACTTTGTCATGAGGCAGTGATGTGAGATGAGGCAGAGGAAGAGTCCATTCGGACGGAAATGGCAAGGATGGGAAGCAAGCAGAGAAGAAATTTAGCCCATGTTGAGCTTTGTGTTGAGTTTGTATCCATCTGGGAGGGCAGTGTCAATCTTGGCTTGGATGACACTGCGATTCACGGCGTGATAGTCTCGGTCAAGACCATTGAGGGCATCCATGTCCTTCTCATTCAGCTCCCAGTCCCATACCTGGAAATGCAAACCATGATATTGCAACCACCTACAATCAATGAGCATTTAAGCAATACCCAACAGTCAATACTACACAAACTCTCAAATCTGATTCCAATTGAGCGAAAAAATTCACCCAGGATCAGAGTACTTCTGAAATTCTCTTTATCAGACAACCATGAACATTAAGAATGCTAAAAAAAATACCACTAACAACATTTCTAGACAAGTACCTGAGAGTTTTCCAAAATCCTCTCCTTCCTGACACTCTTTGGGATGGTGATGACTCCCTGCTGGAGAGACCAGCGGATGCTTACTTGAGCAGGACTCTTCCCAACACGAGAAGCAATCTCGCGTAGCACTGGGTCATTCAAAATCTTTCCCTTCGCCAATGGACAAAAACCCTGCAAGTTCAAACAAATTTAAATTTTCTGCACATAATACATCATATGGGAAAAGAAGGGTCAGAATGGTGAAAGGTTACACAGAAAAGGTTTGCGCACCCATCAGGGTGCACAAATAGCTGAGACATCATTTTCATTACTATCTTGGGGCAAGCCTTCCCATGAGCTCCTTGTCCAAAAAAAAAAGGCAGTTTCATTTCTGTAGGAAAAACAGGCATGGCTATAAGCTTGCTAACACAAAATATTACAGACATGACATTTTGTTCACATTTTCCACAAGATCTGAGCCCACATTCGTACTCCATCTGCACTTTTCAGTTGGAATGCAGATTTCTTGTTAATTAGTTTATCATTCACATTGGTTTCACTAGGTGGATGATAAAATTATGCATTATTCCTGACAGGTATAGAACATGTAATATGTTTAGAATTCCTTTTCTTTCCATTCATAAAAAGCTGACTCAGGCATTCATAAAATGAACATTTGTGCCAAGGGTGGCATTGACTCCTGATGACACAAATTTTGTCAGTGCTTGCAAGGTATGATACTTCTGCATTCTTTATGATCCACATTCCCAAGAGAAAACTTCAAATTAAAGTAAAACAAATTAAGGAAATAAAAAAAAATTACTTCAGAAAAGATGCACACGAGAATTACTTTCTTTCATGTCAGAGTCCTTCCTGATAATTTTCATTCTCTTTAGGCCTACAATATCCTGGAGATAACTTATCAATCCTACCATTATTTGAATTCCATGCTCCTTGCAAAATTTCCTCAGTTTGATGGGATTCTGATAGGGATGAAATTCAATCTGATTGATGCTTGGTGGATGGGATGCATAATCCAACATCTCCTCCAGGTGATGCTCCAGGAAGTTGCTGACTCCAACAACGCGAACGAGACCGTCGTCTCGCAGGGATTCTAATGCCCTCCAGGTGTCTTCTCTCACACGTGATGGGTCATCAACGGAGCTCAGACATTCTGGCCAGTGCATCAAATACATATCTGCTCACAAAAAAAGGACCCAAAAAATCCACATTAGACACTTCAACAGTCACTCCAGTTGAAAATTTTACAATTGTAGATTTGCTTATACTTCCAAATATAAGCAAAATATCCTGTATGTTAACAAGGCAATAGACCTAGTAACACTGACCAAGATAATCCACTCCAAGGCGATTCATGGCAGCAATGCAAGCTCGCCTTGTAGACTGGAAGCCATAATCTGTAGGCCATAATTTCGTTGTCAAGAAGACTTCTTCTCTAGGCACACCACTCTCCTATTGGAGGAAAATTATCTTACAGTTCCAACCTGTCATGTATCAGTCACAATGGAGCAAGAAGGGAATCACTGTCTCTGATCTCTGCCTACCTGCAGTGCAACTCTCAACTTCTCCTCATTCCCATACCGACGTGCAGTATCTATAAGATGGTAATCGCACTCCCGCAGTGCATGGACAACTGCATCATGGCTGTACCCACCTGCATGTGATGTTCCTTTGAAGAAAAGTAAGTTTTTCAAGGTCAAGTTTAAGATGTAACCCTTTCATGTCTGAATTATACTTGAAGCAACAGGTAAATATTCCAATAAGTTTTGTGGGAAAACATGGAAAACACTCACCTTTTGCTTAAGGCAAATTCCAACTTAAATTGGTAGTAAGCTAAAATCATATCAAGCTTTAAAATGATTAATTCTGCCATCAATCAAATCCTTATTTTCCATCATGCTTCTTAACACTTCTTAATTCTTTCAGTAACATTGCTCACAAAGGCCTACAAAAAAAAAGGAGCCAGGAAAATAAATTCTCAAAATGACTCACACCTAAAAATATGAAAGAACTAAAAAGAAATTCCTTCTCTTTGACCTCCCATACATACACACCAACACAACTGACATCACATGAAAAATTAATATCAAAGGAGTGCAGGCTAACACTAAAGCCAGTACTTAATGGAAGCTCAATAGTGAGGGTGGGAAAGTCCTTGAAATTTATGGTTTTAAATGAAAGAATAAGGGTGACAGCAGATCAGAGGCACAGTTAGGATAATACTAATCAAACTCACCAAGACCAAACAATGGGACTTTCACTTTCTCTGACTGTAACACAACAAACTCCTGCATCACCACAAAATGTATAGTATCTATGGTTCTGCAACTTATCACTAAGACTTTGCTGATCCAGAGGTTGTCAGTATTCCAATGTCAAGATGAGCCAAAATATCGAAATTCTGCCAAGAAATCTGAATGGTGAATCACGAAATTGTGTTCTTATTGACACTTCAATACCTGCAATAAAAAAAGGCAGACTTTCAGCATTTTTACCTACTCGAGTTCAGTCCCAGGGCACAACTAGGTCTAGGTTCAGCTCGTTGACTTCTCGAACAGACAGGGGGAAAGGAACATAACCTCAGACTATCTCAGGCGGAGCTTGGGACTGACAGGCCGAGGCCTTTACGTTCGTTGCCAAGGTGAACGACGGAGTGAAGAGGGAAAAGAGCCAAAAAGCGGACGCCACGAATAGAAAGCATTACCGCTGCGTCAAAGCTGCGATCTAGTCAAGGCCTACTCGCGCTCTGAGCCTATGCACGAGTTCCTGCGAAAGGACAAGAAGTGAAAACAAGGAAGGCCAGAGTCTCAGCCTGCCTTCGACTTGGGATCTGCAAGTCGGAGGTCGATGTATCACGCAGGATTTCGCAGGAAGCCTAAATGCGTCACGATCGCCGAGACGATCGCGGCACGATCAAGGCTTATGTAACGGGCGACCGGCGAAGGCCTCAGGGCGACGTTGAAAGCAACGAGGTTAATCGTCCCCGCCGTGAAAGAGACACGCGGGCACCACGGCCACGGCGTGACGCACACACTGACGTCAACGGCGTGAGCGCCCAATCCCGACGGAGTGACGTCGATCACCTTCGCCGCCGCCTTATCAACTTGGAATCGCGAGCAACGGCGTATTCGATTATCGCGCTGCGCAATGCTTCGTCGTTTGATCGAAGCTCCCACTATTTCCGTTTTCTCCTCTTGTCCTGGGTCAGAAACGGTGGGAAACGAGGAAAAATCGTTGTTTTCGTAAGACCGTGCCCGTGGAAACCCCTAAGGCACAATCAGGCGGGGCCTCTGGTCGACTTCCTATATATCTCTGAGGGGAAGAACTTTCTAGAAAGAAACCGTGACGTCATGCACGATCCCGCGGTACTCGAGCGCTTGGGTTCATTGGGGACGCGAGCTCCCACTAGGGGGCAACGGCGACGGCACGAGGCCTTCATGCAGTTGCTAGGCGCTTCCCCTCTCACCTTGTCATGTCGACCTTTCCCCTGAATATTTTGATTTTCTTCCGCCTTGGGAACGGGAATCGCTTCCGAGGAACCCGACGGGGCCATCTTGCATCACTGCGCCCGTTAATATTAGGCACGAACAAATCCATTTAGGTTTCTTACGGTTCCTGGCATTCGGGCGCGACTCACACCGGATAATTCCACTGGAATGGCCCTTCCACGAGGCTGATGGCGACGATCCATTCTAGGCTTCGTGTAATACTGCAGTAAAATCTTGCCGACTCGAATCCTGATAAGTCGAAATTCCCTTTATCTCGTGTCCCGATTCCGATTTTCATTCAAATCATTGTGGGACTGAACGATTTGTCGAATCGGGAAAAGGCGAGAAACCAGGAGAAAAATCCTTTTTTTCCCGTTTCGCCCTCAGACGCCTGTGGAGAGGATTGAACCCGAGGACTGAAACCGAAAGTTTTTTTGGCTTCCGGAGCACCGGATGAAGTTGTGTCGAATGAATTTTGCATAGGGAGCTTCAAAGTTTCCTTAGACATAAAATAAAAGCCAATTGTCATGAGGTCATCGCTCCTTAAAATCGGATTCTTGAAGACGGAAAACTCGCCCCTTATTTAAAGTGAGTTTTTTTTTCCTGGTAGAGGCAATTCCTGATAAGTCGAACTTCGGATAACTCGAAAACGATTTGCCCGGTCCCAAAATGTTCAGGCTAACGAATTTCATTGCACATTTATCACTAGGCTACTGCACCTCACCTGGCCTGGAAAGAGCATCGCTAAGCGTCCGATTCCTCGGAAATGTCGTAATCAACTCACACACGATCCCAAAATATAAATCTTATTCACAGCAATCGACCGCAAAATATAAATTCATATTTTCTTGGATTAAAGAGCCAACAACAACCACTACTCGATCCCTTCTTCCTCCTCCTCCCTCGACTCTCCCTCGCCTCCCTCCTCCTCCCTCGCCTTCATCCTCTCGACCTCCTCGGGCGTGAGCGCGCGCTCGTGCGACCTCTGGTGGAAGACGAACGAGACGAACCCCGTGGACCAGACGGCCTTCAGGCACCGGTCCACGAGGGGCTTCTTGTCCGCGCAGTGATGCCAGAGGCTCAGGTCCGAGCTGCAGTCCGCGTCGTCGGGCGGAGGCTTTGCTTGGACGTTGTTCACGCAGCGTCGGCACTTGAACCTGAGGGAGACTCTCGCGTTCAACGTATGGTCTTTGGTAGGATTGGAAGGGATAGAAATTTTTTGATTCCATACAACCGAATTAGATTAATTGCATCTTCATCCTACGTTAATTTCTGTCACTTGCTAAATATGAATTGATGGAAAATAAATCATGAGCAATCGTTGGGACGACTCCATTTCAAGGCATTGAAATTTTTGGTCATATCTTGAAAAGCTCATCCATAAATTTCTGCAAATAACATGAAAATAAAATTGCATACTGGGACATTCCACAGAAAGAGCGACGTTCAGATGAAACGTTAACACTAATTTCTTCCCCGCCATCTAAATACACGATTGGAAGGGCTCTTCGGAAATATAACTACTGGAATATAATATTGACATCGCCCCCCCCCCCTTCTCAAAGCTCCCTCACATGATTCGTTTCCTTTGGATTGCTTATTTGACAGAAGTTAGAAGCAGGGCTGTACCACCCCTCTTGCGCAACCGTAAGTCTGGACATATTGGAGAAAATTAATATGTGGAACAGCACACCATGAGGCATCACCATTTGTCACCATTTGAAGCATTCACAACTAAACTCTATCTGATAATCGACTTTTTTTTAGGATAATGATTTTCTTTTTATGTGTAGCAAGGGCTAATGTAAAATGGGCTAATGTATGGAGAATGGGCTATATATTAAACAAATAAAGCCACACTGGCAAATGTGTCATTAACCCTTTGAAGAAAAGAGTGATGATATATCACTCCAGAGACAAGTTTCTGCTACTTTACTTTTGTAACAACCATGAATGTACAAACATGATCATATTCTTTCATAAGAACCTATTCAAAGTGATTAACGAATACTTCAACTGTTAAGAAATTTGCTTTTTAAATAAAAAAAAATCATAGCCAGTGGTTTCCCATCCAAACACTAACCCATCTGCACACGGGGCAGCAGCCATTCATAGGGTCTAACCTGACATGTCACTACCACATATTTGAGCTATTTAATTGCAAGCAGCAATTATTCAAAGGGCTGGCATGGCTTATCTTGGCAATCATAGTTACTTTACACTGACATAAAATTCTTTCTAACCCCATTCTAACTGCCATTACCAAAAGGTTAAGGGTGCCAGTATGGCCATGGCACACTAAAGCAGAGCATATAGCTGAACTTTAACCTCTGCGAAATATAAATGACCCTCACTTATCATGCGTATTACTGAGGGTGTCTTCGTGAAGCTTGAAGAGTTCTCGAAGGTCCGCCAGGGAGAAATGCCTCTGTACGTCTTCCTCCTGGTCGACGATGCAGCTGCTCAGAGCCTTCTTGTGAGCTTGGCGCTGGAAGATCTTCTCTTCGATGGAACCAGTCTGCAAAGGGGATTAAGGAAATCGACTAGGTTGATCAAGCAATGAGATCGGCCCCAATGACCACATTCCTTCTCAAATTTACCGCAAGGAGACGATAGATGAAGCACGGCTTCCGCTGCCCGTCTCTCCAGACCCGTGCCATGGCTTGGTCGTCGTTCGCCGGATTCCAGTCCGGATCGAACATGATGAGTCGATTGGCTCCAATGAGGTTCAGGCCACACCCTCCGGCCTTGCTGCTCAGCATGAAGATGTACTCTGGACTCTCAGGATTGTTGAATCTCTCAACCACCTAGATAAGACATAAGAAATGAAGGAATAAATGAAAGAATATAACAAAATGTCAACATGGCATATTCCTGATGTGGCACATACGCGCTCAAAGGTTGGTGAGTAAACACTAATGATCAAGCGGTGCTGACTTCTTTCAACAAAAGGCAGATATAGTGCCATCAGAAAGCCTACTACATGGGCTAACGCTACATTACCTTGTAATGTTACTTTTGGATGTTGGTAAAGTTCAAATAGCATGTAGGAAACACAGACCATGTGACAGGCATAAGACCCATGAATGTGCCTTCACTCTGGAATCCCAACTGATCCTCCCCACTCTATGATCTCACCCAAGACTGTGTAACCTTAAACCTTGGATGATACAATTTCACCTGAGTGTTGATTCAGCCTTCACCACTGAGGTTTTTTAATACCTAGAGACTGCAATGTAGCATGCTAAAGGGGTTTCCCTTTTTACACATGCTCACAGCTTGAAATGAAAACCTGACTAGGTTCAAATAATGCCTCAGTCTCTTGTCACGTGAGCTTTGCTCACTTACGAGACACTCACCTGCTGCAATAAAAGTTATGCTGCATCACTATCATTTTACAACTTAGTTTCCTCATGTGGAGAATGGCCACAGATGTACCAAAATACATCAATATTATTCATTCTTCAAGGCTAATTATAAAAACATGCCAAATATTGACATTGAAGTGGATGAATTGCTGACACATTATTCTTGCAAGTTAATGGTATGAGACAGAGTACAGTCCTTGCCTCCTCTCCTGCAGCCCTAAATTTCACATTTACCTTTGCCCTTTTTTTTATTGTCATGCTTCCATCCAGTCGCACATGAACGTAGTTCCTCAGACGACAGAGTCGTTCGAAAAGATCCAGGGTCTGAGTGTAGTTTGAGACTAATACAACTTTGTCATCACTTGTGCTCTTGATCACAGCAAGGAGACAATCAAGGACCATAAGTTTCCCAGACAGTTCACACTGAAGCCTCCTAAAAAGGAACAAACTCAATGATGTGAAAATTGCAGGTAAAAAATCATTTTGACCAAATTCAGAGATGGAGACACACTTGGGATCATATTTATCAGGGAAGAGTTGCCTGGCTTTTGATAATCCCTCTGCCTTCTCCAGGCACTTGTCATAAATGAGATCAGGGTGGGCAACCAGCTTCTTCAACACAGTGATGGCAGCCAGCGTGGAGGCGCTCACCTTCCCATCACCATTCATCTTGGACTTTACCGCATCAGAGTTCACATATGCCTTGTAGATGTCACTCTGGAGTGAGGTCAGGCGACAGCACACCACCTGCTCGATCTTCACCGGGAGGTACTTGGACAAGATGGCTGCTGTTCTACGAATGATGCAGCGGTTGACCAGATCAGCTAATTCCTCCAGCTTCTCTTGCCCCTTCTTCTGGTCCTCATCAGTTGCATCTGCATCTCTGCCACGGAGGATGGGACGTTCGAACCGTTTCTTGAACTCCTGGGCTGTTCCCAATATGCCCTAAAATTGACAAGAATAAATATTGAAACACCTTGCCTTCACAGAATGAATTACAGGTAATTCTCATGCTCATTGTGCATTTATAAAGGTCACCTCATTGACAAAATGGATAAGACTGAAGTACTCCAGGAGATCATTCTGGATGGGAGTTCCAGAGAGCAGAACTCTTCTCTTGCACTTCAGGCCATTCAGAGCTTGGTAGGTGAGATTTTCTGAGTTCTTCAATCTATGACCCTAGAATGGGAAAAAAAAAGTTGACACTCCTTCATGAAAAGAACAACTCTTTGGTGAGCATGCTTTCTTCTTTAAATGCTTCCTTCTAGACATACCTCATCACAGAGCACAAGACCCACTTCTTGGGTTTGCAGAATTTTGGCATGAAGACGAAATGTTTCATAGGATATGATGAGGATAGGATTTACTGGTCGTCGACCAAATGTATTCATGAAACCCTGTAGGTTTCGCTCAATGTCCGCTTTAGAACCAGAGTCAATCACCAAAGGATTCACCCGGCCCTTCAGCCACTTGGTGATCTCATTGGCCCAGTTCTGGAAAAAAGTGATAAGCATTGCAGGAGACTTATGATCCAAGGAATTTAGCAAGAGTAATCAGAATGTTGAAAACGTGCAACCACCTTGACCAAGCTTGAAGGACAGACGACGACACCCTTATCGATGGTCGGTTTCATAGTTGGGCTCTGTCGGAGCAGGGTCCACATGAGCGTGATGCACTGCAGTGTCTTCCCCAAGCCCATCTCGTCTGCCATGATGCAGCCAAAGCTACCTTCTATTCTGTTCCCAGTCACACAATCATACATAAACTTCACACCCTGGAAAGAAATACGTATAAAAGTAAAAAATAAAAACAGGAAAGGTGGAAAGTATCACATCCATGCTGATCTTGGAGCCTCACCTCTCTTTGATGTGGTCTCAGAATGTTGGACAGCATGGGGTCAACCACAACATGGACAAGTTGTTTCTCCCTACACATAAAGAAGCCACCAAGCTTTAAACTTTGAAAACGAAAATGAAAAGTATGAAAAATAATTTAGGCCATTCCTACAGTTGCTGGTACATTACAACTAGCAGTGTAGTATCTGATGGTTATTCCTGCTTTCTCCATTAAACAATGCAACCAAAGAGATAGCAGGAAAAGTCCAATGCTCCATTAACAAGTTCTTTGACATTAAATAAAAAAAGCATGAAAACTTACTGCAGTCTGCTTAAAGAAACCATTGAGGAATGGATGAATTAAAATTGAATTGCCTTGGACACCTAATTCCATTAACTCACTGATCAATTGAGATTTTTTCCTGAGCAGATAGAGGAGGAGGTTCATAAAGCACAAGGGCACCAGGCTCGAAAGGATCGTGCAAGGGAACACGAGGCCCACTTCTCCTCACACCTAGCGAACGACTACTGAAGCTTGACCCTTCATAGCCAGCAATGGGGATTTTGAAGGGCTTGGATAGGATTTCCCTAATGAATTCCTCCTGATGAAAAGGAAAATCAGGGAAATTACATGCTACTCTGAGAAAATAACCCAAACAAGCAACAACTGTGTTAAGGGGAAATAAATCTCTCACATGAGCAGAAATGGCATCTGGTGATCTGAGGGGGGAAACCTTCACAGGAGTATTCTCATTTGCCACAAGGGGCTTTCGATATGGAGAAATAAAGTCTGATTTGTCATAACCGGGCCCTCTGATGTGCCGGGTTTTCTTCCTCAAATCAGAAGATCTAGATGTCCTAGGAGAGAGCACAGTCCCATTTTCTCTGCTGCCAAGATTCAGCTTTTTTGATGGATTATCTTCTTCACTGGCAATGCCAGATTTCCGCTTCTCAACCTGGCTTGGGGCCAAGCTTCTCCGCATCTCAGCACTGCAAAGGTAGATCAACAAATTTTGAATGAACCATTCACCATGACATAGCAATCAGGGAATCAGAGTGTTGCTTTGTTATTTATATTGTTGGGTATTTAATTAAAAGTCAGTTCAACTCCTTTCAAATTATTCATAACTCAGTATTAATATCTCCACACTAAAGAAACAACTAAGCTCATAAGGTGTTGTACCAAATGAGTGGAGACCTTTAACATGGTAAGGCAAGTGATCAAATCCCAGATCACACCTTCTGTAATCTCCTGGCTCATTGTTGCCTCTAATATACCAAGTGGCACAAAAGAATGTGTCATGTTTGATGCCTTGTAAAATCCATTGTGGATGATCTGGGTTTGTGATATTTTCACATTATGTTGGAAACACCGCAAAATTTGTTTCCTGAAATTTTCATGAACCTAAGTTGTCTGAATAAATATCGACAGTCTCCTCAAAATAATGTCATAAAATGGACCTTTCTATGCACGAGGAGGATGGAGTTTCAGGACCACTCAATGGATTTCTATACCTTGACATCATAAACACCACTTTTTATGCCAGTTCTCATTGTAGTATTCAACACATCGTAGAATAGTACTACTGTTGTCCATCATAGCATCAGAATCGATACCACGCAGAATACTACAATGAGAACTGGGGTGAAAAGCGGTATTCATAACCTCAAGGGAGAGAAATCATTCGAGCAGGCCTGAAACTCCATCCACCTCATGTGGGGAAATGTTCATTTTATGACTCCACTTAGAGCTGTCAATATTTATTCAGACAACTTAGATGCATGAAATTTTTATAAAACAAATATTGTGGTGTTTCCAACAAAATGTGAAAAGATGACAAACCTAGATCATCCACAACAGATTTTATAAGGCATCAAACACGACACATTCTTTTTGCGTCACCTGGCATTTTGAAAAGAAATAAACAGACCCCATATTTCAAATGAATCATCAAACAGAAATGAAGAGGGAAAAAAAAAAGAAATCAAGTAGCATAATACAAGACACAACTAATTAAAAAATTAATTAACATGCATAAAAGGAATCAGACATACATGCATACATTACAGTACAAAATAAAAACAGACATGAGGACATAGCAAAAAAAAACAGACAAAAATAACATGGAAAAAAGGCGAGGAAAAAAAGGCAATGTGACCAGTGGGCCAGGACATCCACTGAGCCATTTGGGTTCACCCTGGTTGAGAGAGCAAAAAACATGCCACTGGTAATTCTGATAGATATCCACAGACAACTTATTTTATCTTTATTGCACAAACTGGTACCTGTACTTTGATATTAATCACTAGATAATGAAGCAACTTGATTTTAAAGATTCAGGTTGACTCATTTCACCAATTTATGAAATTTCTCAGCTCTTGAGTTACATTTTGGCCTGCAAATTTTATGTTTTTGCCAGATATTCTTTTAAAGTTCAAGTTTTCATAAGGATAAGTCAACATCCTCATCAAATTTTAGAAATTTGTTATTGGAAGGATTCTTGAAAATAGAAAAATATATTTGGCATGTTCTCTAAAGGCAGCAAGTTACAGTTACCCAATTACATGTCATAGGAATGATCTCAATCTCTCCTTTCTAATGACATTGATCTGGATACCATAGGTTAGCCACTACAGTTAAATATACTCAAAGTTGCAAAAATTGTCACAATTTCAGGCTAATTTTCTCCATGTAGCAGGCAAAGTTAATGGAGTAACTTGACTTATGAATGCACATCAAAGAGGTATGCAACTTACCGAATTTTGAGTTTTGTTCCTTTTACTATGCCAAATGAGATATTGGAGAGGTTGTAAAAATTATTGCATATAACATTATCAAAATCACCTTCAATGCTGAAACTTCATTCAGATTGCAATTATGTATCAAATGACTCTCTGGTACAGAGCTTCAGTTCATGCACTGTAAAGCACTGTACAATGAATGGTTCCTCATATGATGAATTTACCTTCCATGAAAATTTCCCATTCTCACTGAAAGTTTGGGGGGAGGGGATATCTTGCTGTGGATTGAATGATAGTCTTGAAATATTAATTTTGATGCTATAGAAAACCTTTAAGATTTCAGCATGAGTCAAATTTGATTGCACAAAAGAGCAAGAAATTGTTTCTAGATTTGTTTAATACAGGTCTGATGCAAAGAAAAGAAAAGCACTCCAGGTAACGAACCACTTGAAAAAATAAATATTAGCATTTGTAGAACCAAGAAGAAATGCAATTAAAATCATTTAGCAGTCTCTCAGAACTATAAAAAAAAAGAAGTTTTAGGATCAAAAGACCCCTTGAAAATTGCAAGTATCAGAAAATTAAGAAAAATATGAACTTAATAAAAAAAATTAAACACATACAAACACCTCATAGCAAACATACAAGGGGGAAAAAGTATTTGATTGACCACCTCAGAGTGGGTCAAACAAATATCATAATTAGCAGAGGTTATATTTAATTGTAGGGGGAAAAAGGGAGCACAACCAATGGTGTTAACCCTTTAATCCCCATAGAGGGGGGGAAATTAGGTGCCACCAACCACCAAAAATTTTATATTCCAGTTTTGAAAACTCTCAAAAGAATATTCTAGACTTGCATATGCAATTTAAAAAAAAATAGATGTGAATTTCACCACAGTAATGCAACCTACCAGATGACATGTTTACAATGCCTTAATTGTATGCATACAGACAAGTAGAGCAGATCAAAGATAGGGAATACTGAGGATTATAATAATTTGAAGAGTGATTACCCTCCAGAAATGAATTCCAAGTTATTTTTTCTCAGGTTTTACAAGTTAGATTTTGGGAAGTAGCATGAAAAAGTTGGTATGTGATTGATAAAAAGTTAAAGACAGATTGCCTCCTGTAATAATGTAGCAGTAGGATTTTTATCAGCCATTCCCAAGGGTACTATTGGAAAACAGCAGATATTGCAATCAATCATCTACCTTTTCCCCCCTTTTTTATATTTTCATATTGCCTGAAAGCGGTTTTAATGGCAATGGGACAACTCAACTCAGTGTGAATGTGCAGCCTTCCACCTTGGTCAGGGTGCCAAACTACAAATAAAACTTCCACTTCTCTTGTAGCCCTTGTGGATGACAGATCCAGAGTAACCAAAGGGAGGGAATGGTTGCTTATGGTAGCATAGATAGGGTGCAGGGTGTAATCATGAAATGTCACACCTGGCATCCAGCAATTCATACTCCTCTCCCATCTCCACATGATGTGGATGAACTATTGAGAACATTGTCTTGTTGTCCAGGACTGTTCACATAGGTCTATGACTCACCAATGACAGTTGTCATTTTTTAAAGTTGGATGGTTAGGAGGCAGCAAAGAGGATAATTTCACTGGTATAGAGGCCAATTGAAAGGCAGATTTTTACCTGTCCTGGAACTGTAACATTAAGTTTTGATTACTTTTATTTAATAAATTAATTTAAATTTCTTTTAAGCAAGCAATTTTAGAAAGCATGCACATGCCATGTCTTGTTGCATTCACAAAACTGGAATATTTTTCCAATGCCTAAAACACAATTCAGGCATAAAGATATTAATTTTATCTGGATCAAGCCCAGCATAAGAACATTTTCTTGTTATGAGGCTATCAAATAATGCACCTCCTGAAACTTATCAGACCGAACTCTTTTCTAATCCTTGTACATGAAACATCTTCATTGTGATCAAATATCCATGAAGAATAAGATGCAAAGAACCAAAAGTGGGCACATATTAAATGGCAGCAAATGTGCTAAATGATTTTGCCTTTCATTTTATTTTTATTGACATTAGCTGGTTGATTTACAAATCTTGTAATTCATGCAGTAATTATCATGCAGGTCAGAGCAGTCACATATTAAAGATACAAATTAATAGATCTTGTCAAATGGGTACAGTGCTAGCTGGAAGGTACGGCTCTTGTTTTGAACGCCTTCAAAATCCTATCACAGGATGTTTTGATACTTGCCCTCTGGAATAACTGTGAAGAGCCTCAGAAATTCTGTGGAATTAGATCAGAAACTTTCATTTATATGTACTTTAAATTAAGCAATTTAAAAACATTTAAAAAACATTTATTCAGGGGCACTGATGAACAAGAGCATTAGGCAAGTCAGATTATGGAACTGCTTAAAAAAATCAATCTCTAGTTCAGGTTGAGTGATAAGACGTGAGACAAGCATCTCTCAGCTCATTTCATGCCAAATAACATGAAAATAATAACTATTAATGCTTACTCAAGCATTGCTCTACTATTTCTAATACGGCATTCCTTCAATGGAAGTGGACAAGAAATCATTACACAAATGAAGAAAAGAAAAGTTTAGATGGCAAATTCAATGAGAATCAATTCATCTTAAATTAGTTAATTACATACTCTTCTATCCATACCCGATGGGAATTAGTTTAATGGAAGTATTTTACTTCCAAAAGACGCACACGACAACGCATCAACTTATAGCGGAACCGATCGGGCGCCTGGATTGGGTTGTATCATTTCAGGACTACACAGTATCAATAAAGCAGTAAAGTAGGGATTGATTGACCCAGATATTGCACCATCCTGCCATCGCGGAAAATTGCCGTTCGGTTGATTCACCGGGAATCCTGAAATCCCATTTTAAATATTCATATAGGCATGCGTTCATGGCAAACAACTCACGTTTTCGCCTATATTAAAGCTGTAGGCCCTTGACGGCCCACTCGTTCTCAAAGGGAGAGAATTGAATGATCCACGATCGACCGGCTTCCGATGTGCCGCGAGAAGTTCATGTCCATGTGGTCTCGCTTCGTCGTGACTGTGGGTCCCACGCTGACGGCACAGTGTTCCACACAGCAATCACTTCTGGGGACCTATGAACACACAAATAGACATTATTTATAATGGCCGCAGGACTAAGCGTATTATGCGTTAGATATTCAAACCTATATTTACGTCATTCGCGATGAGAATACGTATTGATACTTCTAGTATACACCATCGATGACATGTTGGGAATTTTGGATCCACACAACCCTGCTTACCATTATGGCTGGTAGACGTTTTCTTCTTCCGGGAGAGCAGACAGCAGCCTGAGTCAGGACTCATCCAGCGCTCGTTCTCTTATGTTGCTGTCTCTTCTGAATCCTCTAGGCCCAATACGAGATATACAGTAGGTCTTTAGTTGTGTACACTAAGCAAGGGCATTAAGCAAGCGAGTAAAACTTACGTGTACACTTGGCGAAATTATGATAAGCCTAGGCCTAACTTGAAGTTAGTCATTGGCCTTGATGAAGTTGACGAATGCAATGGATCTGGACTTTCTTCTCAAGGTCTGGGTATAGGCTAAGCTATGAGGCTCCTGAAGTTGTTTCATGCTATGATTTTAAGGCCTTTTGCTCCCCTCAATACCTATTGAGGCTAGGTTCAACATTGTCTTGTTTCCTGGCATGTTTGTGTGAACTATGTTGGACTGAAGTAACCTGGCTGCACATGAATGCACAGAGGAGAAGATTTTGAAGTGGTAATGTTACAGGTTTTCTCCAATTGACCATGGAGCTGAGGCTCTGTGTAGGTTTCCTTTTTAATGTGAGCACTGTGCCCACTTTTCCCCCTCCAATGCTAGGTTCCTCTCTTGTGCCACTCCATAGAAGCTAATTATAAATTTGAGGGTAACATTTTGACAGCTGAACATCAGGCTGTTTTTTTTAAGTGATACTGAAGCCTAATTGCCCATTCCTTGGGCACTCCAGTAAGATGAGGGTTGTCGCATTGAGTTTTACAAATGCTTTATGCTAAGCATATCAATGTGAAGGTATGTGATGTGCAAGTGGAAATCATGATTGCAATATTACTGTTAATCATGACAATGTGATTTGATCCAAGTATGGATGTAAGTTTGACTTACAAGTCAATTCAAGGTAGCATATTTACTTGAAATTAACTTTGATGCTCATCTTGAGTGTTAGATGTAATTCAATAATGCAATATTCTGGATGAGAGATTCCAGTCAGTAGCCTTCCATTACATCAGATAAGTTGTCATGTTTTGTGGGCCAGGGACAAGAATATGAATATGGTAACATCAACCTTAATACTAGTATACAATATATATAATAAAAGCCCTGACCATTTCATTTACAGTTTCATTCCCTTTCCAATTCTAACTAAAAACTTTCCATTGCTGAATAGATAGGCTGAAAATGAAAATGGAAAAATGTTCTTGCCGTAGGAGCTTGGAGCTGATGGTATGCACCTGGATGGTTGTCGCAACAAAATCAATGTTACCATGGTGCTTAACAGTGGTTACTTGTTTGTACCACTGAAGAGCAACATGCTCTTGACACATCACAGGGCTTCATTACTAAGTCTCTAAGATGATGGACTGTTTAGCTCATGGTAATCAAAGGTTTAAGGATAGGAATAAAATGTGCAGTGCTTGGTATTGACATGAGTGATGTACATTTTAGAGCTGCCAGCCTTAACTTCAAAGGAGGGCCTTGTTTTGGGAATATGATGTAGCTGGAATATGTCACATCCTTTTTTTTATGTTACAGCTTTTCTATTGGCTTCTTGGGTAAGGTTCCAACACCTTCTGATCCAGATGAGTTTTTTGCATATTTGCAATGCTAACAGGCTTAAATCTGGTTATACTCCTCTCAATTACCAGTTATAAATTGCTATTGGCTAACTGTTTACATGTGCAGATAGTTGTTGTTCTTAACCCTCAAAGCAGCAAATATTGCAGTTTTGACATTATTACAGGCTGCAATAACATTACAATTGCAATGTTTGCCACTTAGAGGGTTAAAGGAAGATTCCACAAGATTGGACTCCCCATTATCACTTGTGTAGTCTGGTCATGGCTAAATAACAATCTTTCAGTCATTATGCATGCATTGTTATGGTATGGGGTATATTTTATGTTAAGCCTACTATTCATAAAATAATCCAAGACAACTTTGCTGATTATTGCTTGTCCCATAGGTATTGTGGTGGACTCTATCCATAAATTGGAACCCTTAGGGATTTGTGATTTATCTGTCACAGCATTCAGACATCTGCATTTATTCTGCTCCTTGTGGGCATCCATCGGAGTGAAGACTTTTCGTGATTTACATTGTGACCAAAGAACCGCTAATGAAAGGGCAAAGTCAACAGGATTCCAACGGTCCCCGGGATGGAGTGAATGAACACGAAGATTTTGATTCGTGGCGTGGACATCATCAAGGTTACACTGGGGCAATGTCAACTTCCATCAGTGATGCTGGATATATACCTAACTACTATGGAACATCAGCTGCATTCCCATACCAAACGGGATTTCGAGTGGGGGATGGACCTTGGTCGAATGGAGATCCAATGACATTCCTTGGGGGATATGGTGGCCAAATATCCCATGATTCGTACAACTTGGATGGCATGTTTGGCCCGAGTGGATTTAGTGGATTTGGACAGCCAAGCTTCAACTATCAATTCCATGGGAATGGCGATTACTCAGCTTGGGGCTCTAATGTTCTCGACCGAAGCAAGCCACATTATGGTGACTACTATCGTGATATGTATGGTGACGACCGCTCGGGACTTAGGGGTGTTGAACAGGGAATGCAAGGACTTGCTCTAGGGCCAGCAGATCCATCAGGAGTGGTTGGTGGTGCACGGGGATACTCAAAGGAAGGGATTTCTGGTGGCTCCAGTGGTGTTAAATCGAGCAACGACGTCGGGATCGGAGTGCAAAAGAAGCAGCTCACTTGGGCCTCCATAGCATCCCAGCCTGCTAAATTGAGTGGTAGTGGAAGTAAAAGTAACAAAGGAGGTGTGAAAGGTGGTTTAGCTGGAATGGTTCCTACTGGACTCCCTGGCTCTATTGGTACCTGGGATAGCTCTGGGAAAGGGGGCCTTGTTGGGAAGAACATCCCAGGAATCATGCCTCCACCTCCACCTGCTCCCCGTCCTGCGTGGGGTCCTTCCCGTGGTGGACGTGGGGCAACTTCAGCCTCTGCTCCACATGTTGTTGGCAACATGGGTCCAATGCGTGGAGGACCGCCTTATGGGATGCCATCGCCTGGTGCAGTGGTGAGCTCTGGAGGTGGACAGGCTCCTGCATCTGGGGATGTTGTTGTGGCCGGCCAGGCGCAGGCTCCTGCTCAATCCCATCCCATTCTTGATGAACTTCGCATGCGGAATGAATACAACCCGAAGGAATACGATTTGAATCCAAAGGGAGGACGTTTTTTCGTCATCAAGTCCTACAGTGAAGATGACATACATCGCTCCATCAAGTATGAGATTTGGTGTTCTACTGAACATGGGAACAAGCGACTGGATTCAGCATTTCGTGAGAGGGAGGAAAAGGGACCGATCTATCTCTTCTATTCTGTGAATGGCTCTGGGCATTTCTGCGGGATGGCACAGATGGTGTCCTGTGTGGATTACAACTCTACGTCTAACGTCTGGGCGCAGGATAAATGGAAGGGACAGTTTAAGGTAAAGTGGATCTACGTCAAGGATGTGCCCAACACCCAGTTACGTCATATTCGCCTAGAGAACAACGAGAACAAGCCAGTGACCAACAGCAGGGACACACAGGAGGTTCCCTATGAGAAGGGGAAGCAAGTGCTAAAAATTATGCATCACTACAAACATACTACGAGCATCTTCGATGATTTCATTCACTATGAGAAACGCCAGGAGGAGGAAGAGCAACGCAGACAGTCAACTCAGGGCAGTGGGAATCATCCTCCCGGACTCCCCAAAGAAGACGGCGAAAGGGGCCGAGGAGCTCGCAAGACTGGTGGCAGCAATCGGCCTCGAAACGACTAGTGTCCCAAAAGCATCTTCTGCCAGCCCCTGTATAGCTTGTTTCTTTTCCTCCCTCATCGTCGGCTCTACTCTGAAAAATAAAAAAAATGAGGCAAAAATATCCCATTGAATCATATATACAGTGTATATTTTACATCTAGGTGTCTCGTTTCATGTTCTTGTAAAGAAATCAGCCTGGGTTGATGGCATTCTGGGTCCTTTTTTATGATAGGAGGCTTTTTGACTTGAATGATCACTAAATCATGTGTTGTTTTGGTTATTTCTATAAGTGTGTCAAATGAAGTAATTTTCTAAATCTATGACATTGGAGGAGATATGCTGTTGATTCATGAATTGGTTGGATATGGATTTATATACCATTGTTTGTCCATTATTTTCTTTTCGGCTCTTAAGTGTAGCTGCCTTGTAGTGTATTGTGTGCCTCATCTTCCAATTCTTATCAACTTGGTTCTGTTGCATTGCATTCTTCATCTAGAGATTAATAGATCATGCAACTTGTTTGCACAAGTTTGTCATTTGCATAATTAAAGAGAAAAGGGTGATGAATTGCCCTTTGGTGTTCATGAATCCATCCGTCAAACTTTGTGAGACTCGCTCCTCCAGGACCATATTATTACAGAAGCCTCTCAGAGAATGTTGCATTTATCGGAATGGAGGTTTGTTGCAAATTTGTGCTGTGCTTGGTTCCTTCCCTGTTCTTGTTCCCTTGGAAATAATTTTTTTTTTTTCTGAAAAAAAAAACTTGAATGTCCTAATGACTTTTATTTGACACTGGAAAGGGAGATGACTTGAATTCTTATCTGAGGTTGTTGCTATTCAATGCCACATTAATGTTAGACCCCAGCTAGGAATTGGCTCCCTGACCTTGTGCACTTTGTCTGCATGTGTCTATAGTTCTGTGTTTCTAACATCACAAAATTGGATCATGAATAAACAGAGGTGCTGCTTGGAGGATGTTGTTTTCCCTCTCCAGATGGCTCTGACAATGGCCATTATTCAGGAGTGGCTTTATGGTGAAAATTTGGAAATTCTTGTATTGATATTTGAACTTAGTATCCCCAAGGAAGGCCCTGCTTTGGATGAAATGTTGATAATCCTCTATGAAAGTAGATGATGTCAATGTTCATCTTGGGGATTGAAGTAACCACCAAGTTATTTTATTATTCTGTTCCAATTGTAAATTATCTGTGGCATGCCCAGGTTTGAAAGGGGTTGAGAGGGGGAGAGCTCAAGACCCCTGAGTACCCTCTTCCATTTGTCACTGCTTACAATACTGTGCATTCTGGAATTTGTAACTATTTATCTGTCAATATCCACCCATGGGTGGTAATGCCTTAAGCTGCTAGTGACAGCAGTACTTTGCCTGTATCATGTTGCCAGTATAGGTTGGTATGCTGTCCCAAAGCTTATCTGTTGTGTACTCTGAAAATGAATCAATGGCAACAGTGATCATAAAAATAAAAATAAATGTTATCAGTTGATTCACCCTTGCTATCTTTCATCTTCATGCAAGGAAGAATGTTTTTCTTGGAATGTATACAATGGGTGCACAACTTTTGGCCCATGTGCTGCTTGCAGCCTGTGAGGTACTTGCTGGTGGCCTGCTGTGACTGGTGGCATTTTAAGTGCTACTATGGTTCCTGTCCTGCTGGTTACAGCTATGGTCAGCCAGACTGTGGCCTGCAGTAAAAATAAAAGTTGCAAGTGGCCCTCAGTCTTTTGAGTTGTGCACCCCTTGTATATAAGCTCTTTACCAGCATGATGAATTGAATAGTTTAGTTGCAAGTGGCATAAGGGGAAGGCTACTACCGAGCCATCTGCTTGTTAATCGTACACTGGAAGAGAATGAGCATTGTCATAGTTTGCCAGGATTCACTGTCAGCAAGTTCTTCCTACAGTAGAAACTTTCCACCTTTAATTGCATATTACTGGATTCATTTCTGCTTGAAAACCCTTCATTTGAAGGTGCTATTGCCAGGTTGCCAATTTTGGGGAATTTCAGGGTTCTGGTAATTAATTTTTGGGTGCATATGCTGCATAATAAATGTGCCTTACAGTGAAATATATCCTTGCATCTTATGAAAGACATTTTGGATCTCTATCCACGATGTCCTTGAGGCTGATATGCTGGAGATGATGATTCATCATACCAGATAAGCATTTGTTAAGCTATTCTATCCAGTCTTTATCCTTGTTGGGCTTACTCATTTAAATACAATTCATATTCATGCCTCCTTGAATACTTCCACTTCTAGTAGAATGAGCAGTTGGCATGCTTCTCCAGGTTTGGTAAGCATTCTTCAAGTAGCATTCATGGAAATAATCATCTTAGAGTGACCAAACTTTCCTCATGCAGGGTGGTCCAAAAAATAGTGGACCCCTAAGCAAACAAAATGTTGTCCAATACTGTTCATTGGAATATAAGTTTAATACATGTGTGTCTACATGGACCACAATGTTCCTCTTATGCATTTTAACTTATCAACTTCAGCCAAGCCTCCAGAGTTAAAAACAATTTTTTAGTTCATCTTGCTCCATCGTAACTCACCTTTTGAACTGATCAATCACTGTTTAATTTGACTTTTAATCAGATATTCCCAGCTTTTTTCTCTCTTTTTTTAACCTTCACCAGGGGATCCTGGGAAGGGTCCCAGGGACCTCTATAGGGGGCAATGCATTCAGCTTTGTTACATGTACCCATTACTTCAGAAACTGATGAATTCATGATAAGGTTGAGGCATAAGCCTATCAAAGCAGGGTAGAGTTTTTTCTGAGGGAGGGTCCTGTGGAACTTGTAGGCTTCTGCATTATTAATATTGATAATTTGCATATTTTGTGGGGAAAATCATGCATATATCCCTCAACTGTGATGACAGTACAAAAACAGCATTTCATTATAGGATGCTAAACTTTCTGGTGTGTTTTTATTTAAACTATTTTCCAGCTATTCATACACTGCTTTAAAGGAAATTCCTAGCATCACCCACCCAGAAGCACTGTGGATCTAATAATTGCTGGTCTAAATAGCATGCACTTGTAAATGATAAAAAATTATCAGATTCAGGAAGTATCTATGATATATTACTTGTACATGGTTTAAAACATGCATATCAAATATCCCAAGTTTCAATTACTGTCCAATTATGAGTTTCAAACTCGTAATTGGACAGTAATTGGTTAGGCACATCTTGTTGTGACATGCTTGCTCAAAACCATTTTGTTTCTTTGGATTCCTACTGCAATCTTGTCCAGCCACCAGGAGGATCCTTACTTTTGACATGATTGTTTCCTGCAAAATTTGGTCACCATTGGAGAAAAAATAGATCAAATGATGCACTTCCATATGCATTACCTCCAGACTTCCTGCTCTTATCCTTCAATTTCTTGAATGTTGCCAGGAAGCTGAATGAAGCTTCTCTTGTAATTGGAGGTATTCCCAGGCCTAAACTTGAGTTTTGGCACAATCATGCAATGCCCAACAGGACTCAACATTTATATCATGTAAATATTTTGCTCATACTGGCTTTGGTATCATTTCCAGATTTGAATTTCATCTCACCATTGTGCATATTAATGAAATTCAAGGCTAACTTCTCCCTGTGAAAATGGGGAAGCGAAAAGGTGCTGATGATTCTTCTACAAGGGAGAATGTGAATCAGGACTTTGTAGATTTCTTACAGGAACTGGCCAACTATGAGAAGAATGTTTCAAATAACATCCACAAGTACAATGCTTATAGAAAAGCTGCTGCCACTCTTGCAAAACATCCTACACGAATTACCTCTGGAAACGAGGCCAAGAGCTTTCCAGGCATTGGAGATCGCATTGCAAAGAAGATTGATGAGTTTATTGAAACTGGCAAATTGGAGAAGCTGGAGAAAATCAGGAAAGATGACACTCATGTAGCAATCCAGGAAATGACTCGAGTCATGGGCATTGGCCCAGCCAAGGCAAGAGATCTGGTGATGGAAGATGGCATCAAGTCCATTGATGAGCTGCGAAAACATCCAGAGAAATTGAATCGGCAGCAGCTGATTGGATTACAACATCTGGAAGATTTTGAGAAGAGAATCCTAAGGGAGGAGGTGACAGCCATGGAGGAGTACATCCAGGTGCAGGCCAAGAAACTGGACAAGAAATATATAGCTCAAGTGTGTGGCAGTTACCGTAGGGGTACAGCCACAAGTGGTGACATTGATGTCCTCCTTACCCAGAAAGAATACACTTCAGACCAAGGGAAACAACCAAAGCTGCTTCACAACCTTGTAAACCATTTGAAAGACAAGGGGTTCATTTCTGATATAATTTCCTCTGGTGACAGCAAATTCGCTGGTGTTTGCAAGCTCGAAGACAGAGAGTACCATCGACGAATTGACGTTCGCCTCATTCCCTATGACCAATACTACTGTGCATTGCTTTACTTCACAGGGAGTGACATCTTCAATCAGAGAATGAGGGCTCATGCTCTGGAACAGGGCTACACACTCAATGAGTACTCTCTTCGGCCATTTTGTTCTGATGGGAAGCCGGGGGAACCAGTCATTATCACTTCAGAGAGTGACATCTTTGACTACATAAACTATGATTACAAGAAACCTGAAGAAAGAAACCTCTGAATTCTTGCATGATCCTCTCTTCTTTATGTTTCACAAATAGAGATCCTTATGTTTTTGCCAATGCCTTGTATGTTCAAGAATCTCTGAGTTTGTTGTGATGTTTTTCATATTCTTTATTTGGCAGGTTTTGTTCAGTGTTTATAAGAAAAATGGGTGGAACACAAAGAAAGAGTACCAGGCAATCTAATCCAGGTGCGCAGTTGAATGACACCCCGATGGATGATTCAGATGACCTGGATGAGACCTCAAGTGTTGGGAGTGTGTCAACCGCTGGAAACACATCTCGTAGCGACACACCCATCAGGAGGGCACGTCAGCAACGCAAGATGAAACGCAAGGCAGGAGAGTCCTGCAAGCTGCATTACAAATTCACATGCTATGGCAAGGAGGACCATGGAACTGCCATCTTTGGTGTGCAGTTCAACTACCATCTCAAGGAAGGTCAACCAGTGATCTTTGCCACTGTTGGTAGCAACCGTGTGTCCATCTACGAGTGCCCAGAAGGGGGAGGCATCAAATTGCTACAGAGTCATATGGCACCTCATTCAAGTGGGGTTGAACCTGAAAATTTCTACACCTGTGCTTGGTCTTATGATGAAGACACTAACAAACCTTTAATGGCAGTCGGTGGAGCTCATGGCATCGTTCGCATAATCAATCCTGGGCTACGTCAATGTATGAAGCATTACATTGGGCATGGAAATGCCATCAATGACTTAAAGTTCCATCCTCGAGAGCCAAGCATCCTCTTATCAGGCTCCAAAGATCACACTCTGCGTCTCTGGAACGTGAAGACTGATGCCTACATTGCCATCCTAGGTGGAGTAGAAGGTCACAGAGATGAAGTCCTTAGTGCTGACTTTGACATGAAGGGGGAGAAGGTTGTTTCATGCAGTATGGATCACTCCCTACGAATCTGGGATCTCACAAGGCCTGAACTAAAGGATGCCATCAGGCTTTCTCGTTCATTCGTCCAAAGCAAGAGCCAGCCTGTGTTTCCAACGTACAAAGAGCATTTCCCCATTTTTGTGACTCGTGACATCCATCAGAATTATGTGGATAGTGTGCGCTGGTTTGGAAGCTTCATCCTGTCCAAGTCTTGTGAGAACTGCATCGTGTGTTGGAAGCCCGGCCGTCTCGAGGAGGAGCTGAAGGTCAATGACAGCAACGTCAGCATCATACAGCGATACGAGTACAAAGGATCCGAGATTTGGTTCATCCGCTTTGCCCTCGACTTCTGGCAGAAGATCATGGCAGTTGGGAACCAGAATGGGAAGGTGTATGTCTGGGACTTGGATGTGGAGGAGCCAGGACTCTCTTCTTGCACAATGCTCAAGCATCCAATGTGCTGCATGCCTGTTCGACAGACTGCTCTCAGTCGGGATGGCTCTGTCCTCATCAGTGTCTGTGACGATGGTACCATCTGGCGGTGGGACAAGACAAGTCCTTAACTGCATTCTTTTTCTTACTGACTTCGATTCACCTTCCATGTTGTGTTGTCTATACATTGCAGCCATCTGATTCATCCAGTCATGCTCAATAAACATGACATGGGCAACTGCATCTTGGGCTTTTATTCATTTCATGAAAAGGATGCACAGGCAAGTGGTAAAGTTCATTGAAAATTTGAAACTTGGATGCACAGGCAAGTGGTAAAGTTCATTGAAAATTTGAAACTTGGCTTGGATATTGCAGCATCCTATACAAACTCGTATAGATAGCTGAGCAGGTCAAATTCCACAGTCCTGTAAACACAAATATGATCCGATATATGACTAATACACAATACATCTATGAATTCCAGTCAACATAAGCCCCTAAAACTCACCTTGCTATTTGCTTTGCGAGTTGGAATGATAAAAGGCATTTGTACTTTGGAGCATTTATAGGGTCTTCAGTTCTCATTCGTGCAAGAAGCCCCAGGGTCACCAGAGATGTCACCTGTGATTATTTGTCATTCTCAATGGGTCCATGAATAATAAAAAGTGGCTACTGGCATACCTGGCACATGATGTTGGAAGAAGGGATGACTTTTTCATCTATGATAGAGTAAAAGATGGCCAGAAGTCTGTCCAGGGTGAATGGCTTTGGACCAATCAGGTGACTCTTGGCTTTTTCCTTCTTGGTGCTCTTCAACATCTTCCTTTGTTTTCCATGATGCTTCATGAAGAACCTATCATTTAAAGAATATGTCCAATACCACTAGATCAATTCCAGGATCAGCTTTCCTGTCAAACATCACAAAGTGAAACTTGTCATCACAATGAAGCCCATTGAAAGGAGGCATTTGTAGTTTAGCTTCAAGCTTGTCAAGTAATTTCCTCCATGGAGAAGAGTTTCCAGACTTGATAGCAAGGGTTATGTGTAGGCAACTAGCAACTTGTTTTACCATTAACTGCATTTTTTTGCATCCTGAATACCCTTTTCTTGTGCAGTGTTGCTGCACTTGTGATGCCCTTTTATGTTTCATACAACCCAGCTCAAATAATACAGACTTATAATATTCACTGACTCAAAATGATGTAGACAGTGCTAGTGACATGAATGGTTCTAAGAACAACCCACCATTGCATTAAACTGAGTTGTACACAAAACTTAGGATTTTATCCCTAAATCCTTACTGACTGCAATAGTACTGTGAAATGCACTCGTGGAAAATTCTCAGTCCACCAATCAAGACATTAGCAATATTAGAAGATGCTAATAAAATAGCAACACCAAGGAGTGGAGAGATATTGATAAAATTCTGTACTCGAAATTGTAACAGCAGATCATGAAACCACCTAATTTAAAACATTTCTTGATGCTCTGAGGCACCATGAGAAGTCCCTATGCCATGTTTCCCTAACATATCAACTGCCAACACTGGCAGGTTGCATGCTCTCATACTCCCAGGGCCAAAAAAAAAAAGGCATTGGTAGTTTAAGTGTTTAACAGGGTTCTAGCCAGGAAATTTCCAAAACAGGAAGTTCACTGATTTATCTCTAGCATGGGAAAAACCACCACCACCTCAGTCATTCCAATTAAAAAAGACAAAAGAATAATGAGTACCGGTATGTAAAAACTTTATTGGAAGTAATGTGACGGGCACAATTCACACTTCTTGCAGTGACCCTCAGCAGAAATCAGTATTAGGCTGTGCAGCAATGAGGCTTTCAGAAGATTTCTCAATTGTGTAGATGTCTCAATTGTGCACATCTGGGTAGAGAATTTTAGCCTGCAATATGCTATAAATAAGGAAAAGCAATCAAACTTACTTTTGAGATAATGAACATGCACCCTACCCCACACAGGTGAGAGACTGATGACCATGTAAAATTACAGTTTCTTTGAATCAGCTTGTAAGGAAAGCATGTGGGTTCCTGAGTGGGATTTTGAGCATGAACAATGTATTTCCTGTGCCCATGACCTCAGATGGACAACTTCCATACAGTCTAATACATGTGCTCAACAAGCAGGCAATATGACACTAAGTCAGTCTCTGTCAATTGAGGATATGCCAAAGGAGTAAAGCAAGGCGTTCAACAAACTGCTGCTTCTTCTTAATTTTTGAACCAAACAAAAGTTAAAATAACTAAATTGCAGCCTGCCCAGTTAAAGGCAAGGAAAACCCTTGCAAACCTGCAAACATGATTATTGGCAATGGAGATGCCTCTTTACAGGAAATATGGGAAACCTAAAAAGATGGATCATCGTCGTCATGCAGAAGGTAGGTCAAGGGAGAATGTACCAAAGAAAAAAAAGAGATAAATAATGAAATTTTCAAGTAAAATAAAACAAAACAGGATAATGGTTTATTAGGTCTCTTCCATTGTGGCAAGATAGTTTGATGATTCTTGCATTTCCTGAATGTGAAAGGGGGATTTTATCACAAAACAAGTAGTCTAATCTTTCATGCTGTTGAAATGTTGAGGCTCAATTTAGTGAATTAAAATTACCCTCTTGCCATCTCAGTCATGCTTTATGAAGCATAATTGCATGCTTTCATCAATGAGTATCCAGAATACATATAGTGCTTTTATCACACAAGATGATGAGTCCATCAAAGGCAAATGATTTTTGGAGTGAATGACTCTAGGAAATGATTTGGGTTGGAATGAGAAACTTTGCATGCCTGGTAAGGAAGTGGGTAAGGCAGGTAGTAGGTTCTGCAGAATTTATGTCATAATTTCTATTGCTGAAAGGAGCATAAGTACATGGACAATTCCTTCAGCTAATTTCGTTCTTGGTATTCTCTATCTCCATCCTTCCACACATGTGCATGGTGATGAAGTAAGAGAAGCAGGATGACTTCAAGGGTGAATGGGAAGGAAACTGCATTCAGCGATGCCTGGACACTGCCTGTAGTTCATTGTCTCACAGTTTCCATGAACCTTTTCTATTGCAAAGACTTTTGCTTCCCAATTCCACTGAAATCAGTTGTTCAGTATAAAAAACATGCCCTATGATCTCTGGAACTCTGAAACATGCTTCGTTTTGTAAGGAAGTTTCCTAATTCTGCTATCAGAACACAAAGGTCACATTTTTTCCAGGGTGATAGCTCCCATCATACAGGTACTTCAGAGGGGAGGGTGGGGTGAGGCAGGCCAGACCAGCCTGGCCTGGCCTGGCTTACTTTACTTGCCTGCATGTCCTCTCTTGGCAATTCAGATTTGCTGCCTTGGGTTTGCAGGAAGTAAATCTGTTCTTCCTGCACTGAACTCCTTAGTGCTTCACTGCAGGAATCAGTGTGAACCCCCCATGCTCCTCTGCCCCTTACATGAGGGCACACTGAGTTCACTGAGAAGAAGCATCCTACAACTTTCTAACTCAGATCAATTTCATATTAGGAGTTCATGTTCTATATTTTCATTTAGATCACTCAACCCCTTCTTGGTTTTGCAAGTTAATTGTTGGATGGTGTATGCAACATACCTACCTCTTGTCAGTCTTGGAAGGGTTATAGGAAGCCAGATAAGCTGCCAAAAGAAGGTACTTGGAGTACAAGGGAAGCTCCAGATGTAAGCGACGACTGGAGACTGCACCTGCCTCTTGCAACTTCTCCCACTGTGCACTGAAAATGTAATTCATGACTTATAAACATAAGATGGAATCTCAATAAAAAGTGAGCAAAGTATATTAAGTACAGTATAAGATCATATTACATTTACCACATTACCCCCACATTTCATGCCATGACACTCAAGTCACAACTAACCAGATTTTGAAACACCCTCATTTGAGTCCTAGAGCCATCACTTGACATCCAAAGTCTGTAGCACTTTCAAATAGCCAGGGCTGAAAGTATTAATATGGTATGAAGAAAGCCAGAAAGCTACAATGGAAGTATAATGAGATGCCCATTCTAACCCAGGATCATGCATTGCACAGAACAATATGAATAAGTCTCTCACATAGCAGGGATGAGGGATCAAATGGAAGTTTCTGATTATGTAAAAAGTAATTTCAAACAAAAGATTTCATTTTGCAAAGAAGGGGAAATACTACTCCATATTTCATCAATGCAAATGGTTTTGTCCTGTATATTCTCCATCAAGAAAAACCTGCTATTGGGCAATCTTTCAAAACTGCAATATTCGTCTTTTCCAATAGGCTTGCTTATCCTGGGGTATGCCAGCAGTTTGACCATCTCCATTGTAAACCATCTTAACCTCTTTTAAAGGACCTCTGAAACCTCTTGAGAGTTGAGATTTTTGTCAACGTTGAAGATTCAAAATTATTTGCCTGCAAAAGGTGATAGACCTCACCTGGAGACTTCCCTAAGAAACAGTGACTGCATGGCTCTCTTCAACTGCGGCTCAATGTGTCGCCACAGCCTTCTCAGATCGTTGGCACTGACATCTCCAGCAACAACTGGCTCTTGATACTTGGAGAAATTGTTCCTTGCCTAGTTGTCAATGAGAAAGAAATACTGCTGTTTTGCCTAACCTATAGAGAATGTTTCAATCATCGGTTTTTCAAACACACCAGAAACCGCAGTTCTGAGAGATTGCGACAGGCAGGATAGAAAACACTGAGGAGGAGATTCAGGAAATTCTTGTAGAAATGTTGCTCTACCCCAGGGGGGCAGTCTTGCATCAGGATTGACACCAGATCATCTGAAATGAAGAGGACATGATTTTTTGCTGAGAGAAGTTCTGAATGTAGGGGAAGGGTATAAACAGCAGGCATCAATACCTTTGGAATACTGGGGAAAAGATATCTGGATTGGAAATGGAAAGCTGTGAGGGGATTTGAACTTTTCACAGGACGTGCGGATGAGGAAGACGACGGACAGGTTTGCAGACGTGAAGTCCTGAAGCCTCATGATCAGTGGGAGGACCAGAGGAGGCATATCACACAAATACTCTGCTCTTGTCAGCACCTATGGACAATTCAGCTTTTCTGAAATTCGTGACAGCATTGCATTTGCCTGAATCAGGCTGCAAGGAGAGAAATTTTACTTGTTTGGTCATGGTTATGCTCAAAGGAAAATTTTACTGAATTGGTCAATGTCCAGCCCCATGTGATATGGAGCAGCTACAAAATTCACAGTCAGGGGATATTCACCATTCAACTACAGAAGCCATGCATTTTCTAAGCTCTTGTCACATCATACTTAGCACTCTCTTAGGTATATTATGTATATTAGCAAAGGTAATGAATATAAAGAGTAGATCACAGGTGGTGGCAACAGCAGATATTTTAATGCAGTTTGTGGCATTTGAAAGAGGAATGAATAAACTTTAAAATGATGCATTTACCTATCAAACGCCTTCAGCAATTTCAGAAATTCGGGAGCTCATAACTGCCGCATCCATTCCTCTCCTGTCCCGCGGCAACGTAATTTTTGCTTGGTGTTTATATAAACTCCTGAATTTCTGAAGCTGTTGAAGATATTTGAAATGTAAATACACCATTGTAAAGCTTATTCATTCCCCCTTTCAAATGCTGCAAAGCGCATTAAAATATATGCTGTAAGTGCAGCATAGCACACCGTTGAAAACCATCTGGGTTTTTTTGGCTCATCCTGTACTATCACCAGGGCTTCCCAACCCAGAGGTCACGATGCCATTTAGGGTGGCGAACCAGCAACTAAATGCAAAGTTTTTTTTCTTTGCCATTTTAGTGCTTAGGTGGGGGAGCCTGTCTAACTTCGGCCATAGCTTGTGGTCGTGAAAAGTATTGTGAGGTTGGGAAGCCCTGCTCTAGCCTCTCTACAGTCCATCCACAGACGGACCTCCTCTTTTCTTGTCTAAACTCGTCTCATCTCATCTCCAATCTTCAATATTCAATCTTCAATCACCCCCCCCCCCCCCCCCCCCCCCCCCCCCCCCCCTCCCACTATCTTTCCGCTAAGTCATCATTACCATGTTCCCAACCACTCCGATTATCTCTCGTCTTCCATCTCTTTCTTTTAGCATTATTTTATTCTATTCCCCCCCCCGTTTCTATAGGGGAACTCTTGCTGAACCGCTGCCGCTCCTATTCCAACCACTATTCCATAACTTTTTCTCAATAAACTTTCACCCTCCATCCTCCGTAGATTATCGAAGGCCAAAACCACTCATTCGCCAAATTTCTTTTTATTACCGCATCCCCAACACAGCAAAATTGGCGACGGCAGTGGGATAGTGTTTCTCGTCTTTTTCATCCCATTCAAATTCTAATCATGCTTCAACCGGAAACCGGAATTCCGCCGTTACAACTACGACGCCACGCCTCGACGTCAACTTCCCTCATCGCAATTCACCAGATCCGTCCCCCTGACTTTCGCCCCGGCCCTGACCCGTCTCAGTTTCTTCACACCTTTTCTGTACTTGCAGAAACCCAACGGATGCTCTGTGGCACTCCCAACCCCCTCAATCCCTTCTCGAGCTAAAAAAAAGAAATCAAGCGAGGCCAAAAGACAAAGCCGACATTCGTCCAGTCCATCCGACTCCGACAAAGAACAATCCTCTCGGGCTTACTCTCGACGTAATTGGTCAAGAAATTCGCGACGTTCAGGATCTCGAACGCAATCCGCCTCAAGTGATTGGTCTCCGTTTTGCCGATATTGCAAGAAGTGTTGACTTCTATTCGAACCACCTGCGTCCAACACGTCCTAGTTGCAATCGGCGAATCGCGGAAATTCTGTCTTCTGAATCCAGCAAAAATTTTTCCAGCCAGTCACGCGCAAGCCCGGGAAACAGAAGCCGACCGACAATCTCCCCCTAACCCCTTTCCCGAACTCGAATTGTTCGTTTTAACCAGAATACCCTTGATGGTCCTGGCAGTAATTCTCATCCTGTCGGTGTTAATTCCACTCCTGGCCGTACTCCGCCCACTTCCCTTCCCGCGAGAATTAAACAAAATATTCGAGGAGCTTGGAGCGTAAATTCCATCTCGTTTTCCGAATTTGCGGTCGTAAGCCGATGATTGTCACCGCTAATGAGCAGGCCACTGCAAATACTTGGCCATTTGGACTTGCAGATTGAACTCGGCAACCACATTGTCGTCCAGCAGTTTTGGGTCGCAGCTGATCTGGCATTCCGATGTACAGGGTATCCCATTACCCCTGAACCTTTTCCTAGTAAAATAGGGCAGCAAAATGAAACTTATGCAATTAGTTATTTATGTATTTTGACATTTATTGTGACATTTAATAACACTCGTTCGACAATGTAAGGGAGTTTTGGTCACTCATACCTTCCGCCATCTTCACAAATCCTTACTGTAATTCACCTGAAAAAAAACATGAGGGTAAAGGGATTTATGGGACACCCTGTATATTGGGTCGTGGCTGAGTACTGAAGAATTGAGTACTGAAGTACTGTCTGGCCGTGCACTGCCTAATGTACTTCGCTTGGCATGCACGATGCCCCTTCCTCATGACAAACGTCTTGTTTGCTCGAATTGCAAATCGAATTTCACATACCGATCCAGAGACATGGGACTTTACCGATTACCTTCGGTCCGTTTTGCTATATGCAATACCAGGGATGGAAACCGGTAACTTGGTAACCAGGTTACCGGGAAGGGTAGCGACCGATCGGGAAGGCAAGGCAGGGATAAAAATAAAAATAAATAACAGAGAAGGAAAGCGAGGGGGGATAGAATAAAATAATGCTAAAAGAAAGAGATGGAAGACGAGAGATAATCGGAGTGGTTGGGATGAGAGATGGTAATGGATCGAAACATGGTAAATGATGACTTAGCGGAAAGATAGCAGAACCGGGAAGCGACTGACGTCGGTAAGTTCAGGGACGAGTATATAGATTTTTTTTTCTCCATAGGGGAGAAGAAAGACGCCTCTAAAATTTGCCTGGTCGTAACGAAGAGGCGGCCTTGTCATCGGCATAAAAAAAGGATTTTGATTTTGAATTTCACGAGGCGAGAGATACCCATCACCAATTGGATTTAGTCTTGCGCCTCGGAAACTTATTTCTTTGCTCTTTTATCGATCGGTCGGCAGTCGGCCTCGGGTTACCTGGATTTCCGCCGACAGATTAATTTATCCTTCGCGTCTCATTTCAAGTGACGTTATTTGACCCCAAAGTAGAGAGAATTCATTGATCTCCATTCCCTATCGGAGCGTTCGCGTTTGCGACGTATCGAATTTTTCTGACTCAGATGAACGCCTCTCTCCCTTAAAATGATTATTGCGACTATTAATGTCTAATCCAAGGAAAACAACACGAGATGAGAGGGAGTTCCTGTCCCGCCCATCAATGGTCTGGCCTCATTTCCAACCCTGGGTAATTTCATTTTCCTCTAGCTCTCGCGTACTCTTCAAGCGCAAGTCCATAACACGCTGTAATGTCGGCAGCTGAATTCCCCGGAGGGTGGAGGGATGGTTAAATGCTGTATGGTTAAATGGTTGAACGGCCAACACCCATCAAGCGTCATTAAAATGAAAATTTTAATGAAAGTCTAAACTTCTAAAGTCAAACATGCAGTTGAATATCTACTGTCACACCGTAATGTGCGATATAAAAACATCAATAACAACAATCAAATCAATCAACATTAACCATCGCAATAGTCATGGTATTAGGGAAACAGCGACACCCAACCGAGTCAGAAAAACTAGATATTCGCAAAATATTCGAAAAATTCGATACGCAGCAAACGCGAACGCCACGGTTCAATCTCATTCCGCACTTCTGTGCCAGACCTGGTGCGTAGCACTCTATGTATCTTGTGCGTTGCAGTTCTTGTGTTCTGTCGACTCGTGTGCATCTCGTCACTAAGAGAATATCAGCTGGTGCCATGCGGCGAGGAGATTGAACCCTCGACCCAAATCGGCAAGGATAACACGTTGAAGTTACGTGTCGTCTCGGAGGTTGTTCGCCGACTGAAGCGACAGAATTCAAGTATGAATTCAATGAAATAAATATTCCAGTACAGAAATGAAAATATCGATCGAGTGCTGAGGGTGAGGAGGCCGCATCCATGCACAAACGGCTGCGAAACGTTTCTCAAGGACCAATTTTGATGCTCCAATCGATCGACTACAACGCGGGTGTCACCCCACGACTCGTGCTCGTCCGGCTTCAGATCGTTCCACCAACTCGAACACCGCTCGTTTCGTCAAGCATTGGTCCCCCGTGAACATTTCGCAGCCGTTCGTGCATGGATGCGGCCTTCTCACCCTCAGCCGCAAGGGAATTTGTCACAATCCGGCTGCTTTCTCCCAGGTCCTCAGCCATGATTCAGCCATGAAACCTCTGGTGAGGTTTGCCAATTTGCGAAATTTATGGAATGTCATGTGTGCTTTCCATAATCATAACATGGCAATATGCCGATTTTTAGGTGCAAGCGTTCTAAGTATAAAAAATAAAGTTCACGAACTTTTCCACCCCCGCCCCTCGTATAAGCGTTTTCATGCCTATTAGTGGCTTAAAATTGATCTTTTGCCAACCCCCCCCCCCCCCTCCCTTTTGCCTCTGCTCAGTCCTGGACACCACAGGGTGGTTCCCAGGACTGAGCAAACACACACCTGTTAACACTGGGAAGGTAAACCATGGTTACCGGGAAGCAGAAGAACTTTTTCCACCTCTGCGCAATACCATTCAAAGCTTGATGTGCAGTTCTCCATACGAAGCCCTTTTCCAATTGCCTGTACAAAGAAATTTGGGAGCAGCGCAGGAAAGGCAAAAGTCTACTTTTTAATTCAAACATCCTCCTCCGCATCGATGCAAAGTCGGCGATACAAAGAGCATATCCGTCCAGACAAAGCACCAAAACTGTGCCCTAAATGGTCAGGCAAGTACCCCTGGTAAGGGGTAAAGAAATTCGTTCTCATGGCGTTCTCGCCCTCCAAGACGAGAAAGGAAAGATCCAAATGGACAATTTAGATCATGTCGATCGTTACTTCAAACGTACAGAACAAATAGTGACTGACATCCCAACTGAGCCAACCATCTCCTTCCGCTAATGACAACAATTATTGTAAATATGTTCCAAGATGATTCCGGAGCAATTACCTTCTTATTTTTGATTGCTGTTATGTTAACTCCAGAGTCCAAGTTAACTTAGAATGAAGGAGAAACTCACAAGGATTATCCTCCTTTGAGCTCCTTGGAGGATACTTCTGAGAGCATGGATGAAGTCCATGGAATTGTCGTATTTGTACTCATCGGCACACTTCTCACCAAGCACATCTGAAAAAATCCCACAATTGGTACAATTTAATACCAATTAAAAACCTTTTAGAAAGCTACTGTCATCAAGCAACTTAGCATGGATATTAAGCCTTTTTTGCGATCGAAGTAATGGAAGCTGAGTTCCTTGGATGACCAAACCTTGCTTTGGAAAGTATACAAGTGCAAAGTAAATTTGGCATCTCAGCTGCACAGCTATACAGATCACCCTATAATTACTTAGTGCAGTTTAAACTTTCTGCTTCAGGATTCCTATCCATGGTAAGTCACGAATCATTCACAAATGACAGGATGGGCATTTGTGTAAAGTGCGAGTGAACTCTCTGCTATGGCAGCATACTAAAGAAACAAGTACATGATGTGAAGTCACCTGTTATCCTCAGAATGATGAGCTGAAACAGGAGCTTGACAGTATAGCATTCTATGCAATTGATGAAAACAAAAGCATCTCCCGTGCTCTCCAGAACTCCCCGCATCACAAAAGATTTCCCACTTGATGGTGGTCCTGTGATTATGATTGCTGGTGGTAAATGCTGCATCCGCTGAGAAAATAAAACCAACATCGGTTCCTGGAAAAGCTTTCCAACAGGAAGACAAGAAGGCCAAATGACAATAAAGCAAAGAATTTTCCTTCAGAGGCAGATAAGTTTTCATTAAAATTATACCTCTCCTAAGAGTTGCAACAGGGTAGAAACTTCATTCTGCCGTTCTGGAATGTGTGGAGTGACTCTGCCTTCCTTATCCATTGCTGTCCACTTTCCTGAAAGGAAAAGGAATTCACTGGAACTGTTAGGTTCACCATCAGGAAAAAAATTACACAATTTGGAGCTCAGGAACAATGCATCTCGTTTGTATGCATTCCAAAAGCCTGAAGATACTTTTACCTTTACAAGTGAATTCAAACCTGTTTTTAAAATAACTTACAATTCAAACTAAAAAACAGCCTAGCCATCCTGACCACACTTTGGTCATAGCACAGTGCAGTGCATGTGGCAACCAATGGAATTGCAGGATCAGCAATTTCTTGAAGGCAGTCATTAAAAAGACACTTCTTTTGTATTGTAATGCATATATTCCCTTTATTTCAAAATAAAATGGGCTAGAGGGAATTGAGAATTTCAAAGTATTTCATGTAGAACACATGACACGTTGACACATGTCATAAAAAAAGCATGAAAATGCCTTTGGTAGGGATGACTAACTTTGTGGGGAGCACCATGGAATCACAGAGAAAGGCAACAATGCTTCATTGCATTGACCATTTTGAACTGGCATCAGTTTTTCTTCCTACGAATCAAAGGAGCTATGACATCAGCCCTATCTTCAGATGGATCTCTTTTTCTGCCTGGTGGTTTCTTAGTTGTCTTGGAACAGTCACACCAAGGTGTGTGGCTTGCATCACACCTCAGTTCAACATTCAACACCACGACAGGTATGGTCTCCACAGTGAGGTTCGTCACAGACTGCATTTTGTACTGAACATCATCTATGCCTGTAACCCGATCCCTCTTCCTCGTCACTTCATACTGGTCGTAACAGACCCAGGAGTCCCGAGGACCATGATGGATGTGTTGAAATGTGTTCAGCTTCCCGGTTTCGATTCCAGTTGGCCGCTGCACCTTCAAACCTGCTTCACCCAGTCGGGCATTGAACTCATCATCCTCCATGCCCCAACCCCAATATTGATTACTCATTCCTTTCACTTTCAAAAAATCATTTACAGTAATGAGTAAAATGCCGCCAATGAATGTCTCATAATCATACTTTGGGTGGAGCCCAGGCGCAGCCAGATGCATTGGTCCACCTTTAGGATACTCATACGACAGCTGGTCATTCAAGGGGAGCAGGTCCACATCATGCATTGCAATATAGTCTGCAAGTCCCTTGGCATGAATCACTCCCACATTGATGAGAGATGCCCGATTGAACCGATAAGAATCCACCTGATTCACAAGAATGAATGTATGGTTGATGTCTTGCTTCTTCAAAAACTTGTTCATATGAGGTATGAACACTATGAGATCGGAAAACCTCTCCCGGAAGGGGATGACGACAGCCAAATGATGTCCAGCCTCTGCCTTTCTCAGTCCTTCTCCAAAGTCAATTGTCAGAGCAATAAGAACCACAAATGCTAAGCATGCCAGTAAGCCAAAAAAGTAAATTCGCAGTTGTGAACTGAACTTTGGATACCACTTTGCTTTCATTCTTGCATATCATTCTAACCTTAAAAAGAAGAACCATGTGCAGGTTATAACATATAATTACAGTCCTAGGCCAAAGCTTATACATTAATGCAAATTAAAGGCCAGCCATACATGTCAACTCTTGTTGACTTGCCCCTAGTCACTGAAAGGACCTACAATAGGGTCCTTGGATAAGCCAAAACGCCAAAGCAAAAAAAAAGTGAACATCTGGAATAGCCATCAGTATAATAACAGATAGCAGAACAGACGTACTTATTGGGAATGGTTCATCAGCTGCTTTTGTTAATATCATTAAATGGGCAATTATTGATATTGGCTGACAGTGGAGTGTCCTATCTGATACATCCACTTTTTCTGCTGAACAAAAACATATGCATGCCAGGTCTAAAACCACAAAGCTGAAATTTCACCTTTATATGAAGTTATGAAGGAAAATGTGCACTTCGTGAATAAAGCAGTTGGAATGGAGTGAAAGGAACTAAGAAAATTCTCATTTTCTAAGCCTCATTCCAACATGTGCCAGTTTAATCTCTTTCTTAACATAATCTGCAACTATCTGCTCTGGTTCTTGCACTTAAGAAGGCCTAGAGACTGGGAAGACATAAGAATGAAGGGACACCTCATTCAATTATACATTTTGATTGAAAAAAAGGGTCTCCTTCTTATCCTTGTTTAAATTCCTCCTGGTTTGACTAGTTTAATTATAAAATGTCATGCCTGAACTCTATGAGATTACGTGATTATATGATATGCATATAATGGAGTTCACATTAAAAAATTAAGTGATATGTTTAAGCTTGAATCTATATCATGCAGTCTTATGTTCTACTGCCCTATCTAGGGACATGAGATGCATGACTTTTAAGACATATATGGGTGATGATTCATGGGTGTTTGTGCTAACAGCCTATGAACCTTCTCATGGCAATTACCTTGTGAAATACTTAGCAAAACCCAGGCAACCACTCTGATAGGTAGTGGGCCCATGATCTTTCTCTACACAATACCAGCTCCACTTGGGAACATTTTTTCAAATGAATTGGAGTCAAACACTTGCATATGCTACTATATGGCTCCAATTAACTTGAAAAAATGATATTGTACGTATGGCTTCAATTCATTTGGTTCCACAGACCAGAAAATGCGCAGGTCTTCAGGCCTAACGTTAACCTTGGGTTGGGTTAGGCCTGGCCAGGATCGAGGGTACAGGTCGACTAAACGTTTTGGCTGAGAGAAATAATGTCAAGTATACAAATGAAGGTCCAGGAGATGATATCGGTTTCTTCTTATTCTGAAAAGCGGCAGTCCAAATCCGTTTGAAGAGCAAATCATTGCCGATCGGCCTAGCTGACGTTTAACGTCAGCTAGATCGACTGACAAAACTTAACTTATAGATCACAGTCGGGCCATAGAACCCACACACATAACAACATAGCTCCAATGCGCGATAGGCGAGAGCCTCTCTCAGACACAACGACATGATAACTCGGAACACGATGACCCTCGCTCCACGTTCGCGCTCGTGCTGGCTGCGACGACGGCGCCTTGCCTGACATCTATCGAAGCCTTTTGAACTTGAGTGAAACCTTTTCTCTGGCCCAAAAATAGATTCTAGGAGGGAGTCCCGCTTCGCGGGAAAATAAAATCTCCAAGCTTTTGTAGTTTCGTCGAGTCTCAAATATGTTGGATGCTCCAAATTAATATTCATTTAATTTATTTTTTTTGCAGCATTGATAATTAAAAAAAATAATCATGGTAACACAATTATCTCCTTTGCACTTCCCATTTCAATTCCTTCTCTCTGTTCTTTTATCTATAAGATTAAACGCCAAAGATGTAAGTGCTCTGTTTCGGGACTTCGGCCTGGAATCCAGAAACCCAAACTATGTGACTACAATGTTAGACGCCATCTCTCAGTTTTACTCCAAATGAGTCTCCAAACTCGTGCTTCCAAGTCATGAACTGTAAATAATAATTTATGGAAACGAAAAATTCCCTTACGAGTGGAATCCAGAATCCCCTTTGGGGATGGATGTCTGAAGTGTGAACGAAGACGACGCCTCTGATTGGCTGAGCCCAGTCACACGACGACGTTGATTGGCCGAGCCAGGTCAGAGGGCTCCGTGTCCGACCACAAACATGGCGTCGAGGCGGTTCCTCCCTGTCCGCGTGTCTTCAAGCTCGTGTGTTTCGTCGCCGGTTCTTAGTGCAACTCGACGAAAACGAAGTCGGTCATTAAGGATGGACACCTGATGAGACTACGAAATTGGACCAGGTGAGATTTGATTTTTCAGAATGAACGGAATGGACTCGTCAGTTGAACGATTGAAACGAGACTAGATCTCATTAATGCTCGTTAATCACCGACGATGAAAGTCGAGTAGCAGCAATTGGCTTGTGAGCCTTGTCAACTGTCATGCGTTCCGTACATGCGTCAGATCATAGCTAAAGTCAGTAAAATTTGTGTGGAAAATGAGCGGAGATTGACCGAAAGGAAAGCAGAGGCAGGAAAATCTACGTGTTTCATGTTGGGGCTCGTTCCGGCCGCGTTCATAATACTGAAGCGATTCAGCCGGATGAGGCATAGCTGGAGATGAACGCTTTTTGAACTCGTTTCCTTTTTCCCCACTCCTAAAGCTGCAGTGGAAGATGCATTGGAAGCTTATGCAGTTTCGCTCCCTGTTGTCTGACTGCCACTGCGCCCAGCACAGCAGGACGAACTAGGCCTCACATCCGGGGCCGAGCGAGCAAAAGTCGGAACCTCCTCTGACAAACCGCGCACGTAGAGGACACTGCTTCCCGACGTCCCGCGGGCCCAAGCCAATGTCCCGCGGGCCCAAACCAATGTCCCGCGGGCCCAAACCAGTGTCCCGCGGGCCCAAACCAGTGTCCCGCGGGCCAAGACAGTCATTCACGCCGTGTATCGGCCGAGTTCTGCGGAACCGAATTGAACGAGTAAAATTCCCTCGTTTAGAGGACGAATGGTCTCCATTACGGAGTTAGTACTAGCAGTACCAATAAGTATCCCGGGCAGTAGCAGTAGTTAATCTGAACAGTTTTAAGTGTGTTCTGACGCGTCGAACAACCTGGGTGTGTCTCGCGGAAGGAATCTGCAACTGCACCAGTACTAAGTTCTGAAAAATACTTCTTGCCGAAAAATCAACTGGCAGATAACGGAAACAGGTGCACCAATTTGAACAAGTACATTTTCACTATTTTTTTCTCTTGCAAAATGGGAAAAAAAAGTTTATCTGCCCGTCTTTGATAAGATGACCGTGGTGCTCCCTTGCTCGACCTGACATCTATGGGAGAAAGGCGTTGACACACGCTTCCTATTTTGATTCCCAGATGTCCCGAAGATTCCGACTCCTCAGCTTTCGATGTCAGCTTCTCCAGACTGTTTCTCACGTGACACGAAAACGTAGCTCGTCAACGAAAACCATCGTTTTCCGATGAGACCTTTGGTCGACGAGAATCCTCCGTTCGATCCCATCCCATCAGATTCCTTATTGCCGATCCAATTATCATTCTTGGCGAAGAATGCTTGTGATCTGTGGAAAAATTTGAGAGGAGACGGCACGAGTAATAAAATTAATAGTAGTTTTTCCTTCTTACCCAGGGGATGACGAAAAAATATGCATAAAAAGCCCTGGAAAGGGCCGAGCACCTGCACCTTGCACCCAATTCACTCTGATCAGTCTCGCCGACTGCACGCAACCCGAGTTTCAGAATCAGAGCGGGAAATTTATTTCACACGATTAACTGTAAACTCTTAAAGGCGGTAGTTGCTCCCGAGTACTTTACGGTACTTGTGGAGAAGGACGTTAAAGGACCGGAAGATGAAGACCGAACACGGAGTAACATCGTGGAAACATCGCTTGAGGCCCACTATGGCCCACTGCGGTCCACTGTGCAGATTTTGCTAATACGAAGAAAAAGAAGCTAGGCAGGTCAGGTGAACAATTCAAGGAGGCTACAACTGTAAACCAAGATTTCAAAATGCATAAGAATGGTGATTGGGGGCGAGAGGGGGGGGGGGTGAGGGGGGGGCCCAGCATCCTCTATGTGCTTCTCTGTCTCGGATTTATTTCGCTTCAAGTTTATTTTATGCCTAATGTGTGAGCAGAAGTTTCTCAAACACAAGTAGATGCCAAATTTATCAATTCTTTTTTATGGTCTGTAAATTCCGCGAATTTTTAATGCAATAGTATCCCCATAAAGGTCGACGAAAACGTAACCCCCCCCCCCCCGTGCCCTCCTTCTCCCGTGCCCCCTCCCCCATGCCCCCTCCCCCGTGCCCCCCCCCTCCCCGCTCCGGCTATCACCATGCCACTTGCGATCATGCAAATATTCGCCGACTCATCAATCAGCTGAGATGAAAGTCGACAGTTCCCTGTTTTCCTTTTTGCGATCGTGACGCCAATTAAATGTGTGAGCCGCCATATTTACCATATTTATGGAATTGACCCTTTCAGTTGCTTATTATTTCCAGTCAATATTTGAGATTTCGTTTTGCTCAAAAACATTTGCAGTATCACCCAACGTACAAATTTACCTCAATTTTAAGTCAAATTTAAATTTGAGGTTTATTGGCAATATCAGCTGTAATGAAGCGATTAATTGGTTGTAATGTTGATTAATTGTGTGAAAATGTCTGGGTGATTCCTCTGCTTCCCCATAGTTTATGCATGAAATGTGCTTAAAATATGCTTTCTGACTCATTTCCAATCGAGCACGGAGCGAGCAAAATGCCAATCGAAGCCAAATTTTGGCTTGTCACGATGTTTGTCTTCCCATTTGATTTTTTTTTTAAAGGAAAAAATAAGAGGTTCCACTGGGAATAGAAGAATGGGCTTTGTCGCGAACCGGGGAGGCTTCACAGGCGAGACTCACAGGTGAAACTCACAGGTGAAACTTGGAACTGCACGGTCGTCCCGGTCTCTTTGCTCTTCTTTGTGCGATGCGACTTTGTGCAAACTGACCAGGTGTGTCTCGAGGACCAGGTGCGCAATCC